TCTATAGAGATTAAGGCTAGTGCCATTTTCTTATCTAAGGCACTTAAAATATTGTCTTGCAGATTAAGTAGGGCAGATGTTGTACTATAATTTTTTCTAAATCCGGATTGAGTGTCGGGAAGTATAAAGAATTTTTCTAGGTAAGCGGTGAATTGGAACTTTATAATTTTTTCTAAAATTTTGGATAAAATTGGTAATAACCTGATAGGTCTGAGATCATTATACTCAGTGGGTTTCATTTTTTTAGGAATTGGAATAATTAGAGCTTGTTTCCATGTGTTTGGAAAGAAGCCTTTTTCCAAACAGTCGTTAAAGATGTGGACGATGTGATGGAGAATAACTGGCAGGCAAAGCTGGATCATTGACAGGGATATACCATCAATTCCCTTCGCATCAGATTTTAGGCTCCCTATTGCCTGTAATACGTCATTTGAACTAATCTTATTCAATGAAAAACTATATTCTGAGCTTAATTTATTTTTGAAATAGTTTTCGCAAACTAGTGAATCAACAGGTTTATAGCTATAAACAGACATAAAATAATCATTAATTTTGGTAGGGTCATTAAAACTTACCGGAAGGGTTGGTTTACTACGAAAATTTATATCAAGTAGTTTGAGAGACTTCCACAATTTTTTTGAATCATTTTCATTTGCCAAATTTTTGATATCAATATTAGATTTCGTAAATAATTCATCTATGCCCGATGTAGAAAGGTCGATAAGAAAATCATCCTCACTGAAATGTTTAAAATCCCTGATTGTGATAAATTTTTGTTTTCTTTTATAAGATGGAATGTCAAAATGAAAAAATACGAGTTTGTGGTCCGAAATACCATTCGTGTCCATGACAGAAGAATAGCTGCACATTTGAGGATTATTTAAAAATATTGGATAGATTAATGTTGCAGTACTATCTGTGACACGGATGGCTTCCGTTACGATTTGTGTGAACCCCATCAGCTCAAAACTCAGCGAGAATACATTGTTATTAAAAAAATTCATATTCAGATCTCCCAATATCACGATGTTATGATGATATAACGAGAGGCTGGGTAGGAAACCATTTAATAAATCTGCACATTGTTGTATGTTTTGAGAGGGTGGTCGGTACAAAACACCTACTAACAGTTCACACTTACCCGCAACCAATTTAACCCAAATGCTTTCGATAAAATCACCAAAATTTTTATGAATATCTACCAAGTGCCCCAGACGCTCAGTCCAGGAATGTTTACCTTAATTTAAAAATAAATAAAATACCTAAAATAAGCAAAAACTTATATTTGGGAGGTTCAAGATAAACTTTTTTAATAAGATTTTTCACATCTGGTTTTGGTAACAGTTTAGGAAAAGTCACGCGTCGCCACTGAGTTCGCTAGGCCCCGCTTTGTCCACGTCATAAATTCCGGGATTTCAAAAATGTATTTTTCCAACACACGAGCGAACGGATGAAGATGAACTGGACCATCCTTCAAAAATGTTTGTAAACAACTATTTCAGCTGCATAATTTAATATTATTTAAATAAGGAACACCCCATTCATTGGTATATTTGATATTCAAATTTTGACAATGGTTGTGGTAGTACTTTGTATTTTATCAAAAAGGTCCTATAACATCTTTTATCTCAAAATTTGAAATTCTCAGGCTTGAACTGAGTTGTAGAAGTTTTTAGAAGACTGAATCGAAATAGCTTTGCAGAAAGTTGTTAGTCTTGAAGAAAACTAGCATTTATTTGTTTTTTTCAGGTACTTATAAATCCGGCGTTGGCGAAATCCTCAACATCAGACCAGATTGTGCCAAATCAGTTTTAGGTTCTCCTGGCTCTTGCACTTTGCTGCAGCAGTGCGAGTTCTATAGTTCCCTTACTGATATAGAGAAGTTTAAGGAACACTTCTGTGATTTGAAGGGTAAGGTCAAAATGAAAATATACTGATAGTACCACAAAAAAGCACAAAAACATCGTTTGAAATTGTGAATTTATGCGGCAGAGAGAGACAGAGAGACATAAATGCTTGTTGCGCTGTAATTAGATGAAAAACTTCATCTACATCTGGTTAAAGACAAAAATTTAAAGCAGCTTTTAAGTAGAATTGAAAATAGGGAATGTATTAACCGAACTATTGAATTCTTGGTAGTTGCGTTGTCGCCTAGCAACTAATGAATGAAGACGATTGAAAAGTGACAATATGCCGATTTATTTTGACATTATGCAATTTTTTGTTGACATTATGTAGGTTTTTCTTCAAGATGATAACTTAACACTTAGTTGTATTGCCTAAACGTCATGAGGCTTGTTATCAATCTTTGGCTCTGATGTGATGTAAAATCTGCTTCTGAGATGGCATTACTGGAGGTCTAAGCTGTAAGTTGTATGTGCTGATGATAATTACATTGGGTTCTTGTCTCAAATTTACTTAAACGAGATGCAAAGCTAGAAAATAGTTACGCATCCAGTTTTTCTTATCCATTCTTGAAATTACATATACAAATTTGATGAATTTCAAAAATGTGAGAGATAAGAAATAATTATATTCACTGTACAGTGTCGAACTACAACCCCCTCCCCCCAAAGTTGGGGTTTTCCTTTTCAAAAACAACCAGCCTTGAAATAACAAAGGTAATGTGTAGTGAAACGAGGGCGACCAAGTAAAAAAAAATAAAGAAAAAAGTACTCACTCTCCAGTTGACGAGAAGGGCTAAGTACGTCTCTGCCCGAAATCATACCACTCCAACAGAAAATGAAATCAGCTGATGCGCTACCGAGCAGACGCAGGCAAACAAGGAAGGCAAAATGTTGAGCCCAAACATTCACCGAAAATGTTTGTTGAAAATGTGCCCGACGGACAGCGTGCGGATTTTCTACTGACCAAACATGAGTGTTGCGAAAGTTATTCACCCCATTACGCGTGAACGTAGATTCGTCTGTCATCAATATGCACTTCAAAAAGACCGGATTATTGTCATGTTGATGCAACAACCAATCACAAAACCGCACTCTTGCTGGAAAATCGTCAGGTTGAAGTGCTTGTACATGTTGGACGTGAAACGGATACAGCCCCTCTTCACGCAGCGTTTTTCACACTTTAGTTTTTGATACTTGCACTTCTCTAGCCACGTCTCTAGTGCTTGTTGAGGGATTCTCGTCTACGCGATTACCTATACACGCGTGACCGTAACCGTCGGTTGAAGGTTGCATACTGACCTGACACACTGACCCCGACCCGGTTCTGTCGTCGGGTTGAGCTAGTGTCCTAGTACCACTCGGGGATGTCGCGGGTCGCGGCTGCAGGACGGTATTCAGAGATTGGTGTATATGGTACTAAGAAAAATTGCTTATGTTTTCAAGATCTACACGTCGAGCAAAGGAAAACCCCAACTTTGCGAACACCCTGTATATGCTAACAGTAATTACATACAACGCGGGCGCGGTGATGATTTCCCGTACTTCTCCTCAGTTTTTCGTTATTTATAACTTTCAACATAACCTCTCTTCAGGAAGCACAACATGAAAATAACCCGTCGGGAACAGACAATAGATATACTTCATTGGCAGCATATTCAGTAACGATTTTCTCACACAGCAGATATCATTGATTTTGTACACATGCAGACCAAAACACACAATCATCCAGATACGGTCTTGCTATTCAACCAACTTTCCTCTCAGAGATAAAAACTGCAGACAAGGACTATTTGGCCTCACAAAACATATGCAACCAATAATGCGTGTAGTTAAGTTGAGTGATTCCTCCATATATGGATGTTCACAACGATCCTGGTGAGCAAACTTGGAATAATTGTGTGCGCCCTAAAATCTACCTAGATTGCAAGATGACATCTTATAGGTTTTTTCTTTTTTGACGTTTTTTACATGATACCAGTGTCGGCCCGTATCGTCAGTCGTCCCTACAATTGTAAGACGCCTTTATGGCCTCCTTGATTGTCATAGTTTTCTACTTCTCCGTGTCAGCGCTCTATTTTGAGGTTATGTCACAAACATCTATTTGCATCAAATTGTGCTTGCTTTTGAGTTATATCATGTTTTACTTTCCTACAATTTAAAAAGAAAGCATATCTTCATAATAGGAGAGCGCTGACGCTGACACGGGACAAGTGTAATCTAGAAATTTTTGAAGGAGAGAAAGAAGTATGACAATCAAGGAGGCCATAAACGCGCCCTACAATTGTAGGGACGACTGACGATACGGGCCTTAGAGCCCTTCCTTATTAGGACGCTACATCGAGGTTACCAGCATCCGTAGACAAATTAACCTGTTGAAATATATGCCAGTTCCTAATGTCGAACCTGCTGGCGACGGACGCGAGAATATATGCCATATATTAGTTTGGCTGGCCACGTCGACATGGCGACTCGGTGTTCGATATAGGTTAATCTATACATATTGGATGCTGAAGTTATCTTACCGACCTAGGGCATAAAGACGTCCATGAGATGCAAAATGGGAATTAACGAAAAGAGAACCTATTCATAAACCAGTTTTCTGTCTCGTCATAGATAAAATGACTATCAGGATTTAAACTTTCAAAGAAAAATGATAGGCCATAATTACAAGGACGTATTCCTGAACCAAATTCAAGTAGAAAAGTCATATAAACATGTGACCTGAAACATCTGGTTTTCAAGATAGCCGATTATGTGACTCCTGATGAACCGTGCTGATGTCTGGGAGTCATGTCAGTGAAACAACGGGGTTCTCGCAACATCTGAAGACTAATAAAAGTAAAATTCAGCTATGGTTTACTTCATTTTTAAAACAATCTGCTCCGGTCTATATCACATATGAAAGGATGAACCAAAGTGTATAAAGACTAGATTAGCAGAAATATTGCCCTATAATATGTACGTCATTTGGTTACAGGCTTTATTACAACTGATGTATTATTTCAGATATGCTGGCATGTGTTGCCCCAAAGGCAAGAGGATAGATTAAGATTAGCGTAAGTTGTTTTGTACTGTAATAATTAAGACAATAAATATATTTTTGTATTCATTGTGTTTTATTCCTCAAAATGTATATGAACTTATAGTAGGAGGCCAACGTATGTTTAGCCTTGTGTATCACAATGCACTGTAGAGTGAGGAGATGATCCAAAAGTGATGGAAAAAGTATACGCCAATTGGATGAATGGAAATATTCTAATCTGAAAAATGGAATTACGTAGATAAATTATCATGTTTTGATGATCTTACATTATTACACACCTTCCTTTTGTGCTGTACTGGCTTTACTTCGCAGTCTTCTTTTACGAATATTGTTATCAATGACAACATTTACCACGTCTCTTATTAGAATTGTAATTGACAGCTGAAATGAAACGATTAATTATCATTTTATATAGTCTATATTCAAATAATCGACCCAAAATTGTGAGATCATCAAAATATACTTCAAATAAATTAAATATGGGATACCTCAAGGATCAGTTCTAGGCACGATCCTATTTTTAGTTTATATTACGATTTAATAAATCTAAACATAAATGGTAAATTCATAGTACTTGCTGACGATACCATGTGTGAGTTTTACTTGAGATCCAAATATGCTATTTATCGTCAGACAATATAGCATATCTATCTATCTTACTCAACAGATATGCGATGAATTTGTACAATTCTTTACTGACATAGGCGAAAATTTAGCAAGTAATATACAAGCAAATGTACAAAATACTCAGCCTCCAAAAAGAACTTTGAACTCATTTATTTTGGATAAAGTCGAGCAATGTGAAGTAAACACCACTGTTATGTGCTTAAAAAATCGGAAAAGTCCTGGGTTCGATGGTATTAAAAGCGATCATTTGAAAATTATAGCCGAGGACATAACAGAACCACTCACTTACCTAATCAACAAATGCTTTGAATCTGGCATATATCCCTCAATTTTAAAAAAAGGTAATATAATACCGATACATAAATCAGGAACAGATGTTAACAACTATAGAGCAATATCAATAATATCCAGTGTAGCAAAGGTTTTTGAAAAAGTTTTATCTACTAGAATGATTCGATACCTCACAAAATTCAATATTTTAAGTGAAAATCAATTTGGATTTACAGAAGGGAAGGCTACATCGGACGCAATAACTAAAATTGTAAATCAAATACATTAAAATATTGATAACAGAATCCCTTCAATCTGCATTTTTGTTGATTTAAAGAAAGCTTTCGACACAGTTAATCACAAATTATTATTAGAAGCATTGGAGAGAATTGGTTTCAGAGGAAACGCGTACTCACTGATCGAAAGTTATTTGTCAAATCGCCCACAATCTGTGCAGATATCAGGATCATTTAGTAAAGAAATGTATATTAAGTGTGGTGTCCCACAAGGAACTGTCTTAGGTCCGCTGTTATTCAATATATATTTAAATGATATTTTCCAAATTAATTGTGTTGGCAAAATAACTAGTTTTGCAGATGATACTGCAATATTATATGAAGGCACTGACTGGTCTGATCTGAAAAATGTAATTGAAAATGATTCTATCAAAATTATTCGGTGGTTTAACAGTAGAAAATTAAGCATTAACTACTCTAAAACACATTTTTTACCATTTGGATCTTATGCTAGACATCTGCCAAATTACACAAATTTCTCCTTCAATATTAATGATCAAAAAATGCAAATTAATAGTGTGCCCAACATAAAATACCTTGGAGTGGTCTTGGATCCTCACTTACGATGGGACATCCATGTCAATTATACAGGGTGGGGCAAAAGTCACGAAGGGATTTGAAAAATTAATAACTTTTTAAATTTATTTTGTTTTCATTTTTTTTTTCAGGACCGTGTAAAATAAATCCTGGAGATTAATTATGGAGCGTTACAACCTCAATCAACGAACCAAACTTATAGAATTTTATTTTGAATATCACCATTCAATAATTCAAACTCAACGAGCATATCGTCGTCATTTCAATTTGCGGAATTCGCCCTCTGAATCAATGACTCGACGCTTAGTGGCACGATTTCAGCAACAAGGCACAGTTATGGATCTCCCACGAAGCGGAAGGCCACGTTCCGCAAGAAATGAAGGGAACATTCAACGCGTTCAGGAGAGTGTTCAGGAGAATCCGGAAACCTCAACCCGAAGACGTTCTGCTGAGCTCCAGATGTCTCAAAGGTCTTTACGCAGAATATTAAGAGGAAATTTACATCTGTTTCCATATAAAGTGCAGCTAGTGCAAGAACTAAAACCAGCAGATTTTCAAGAACGACTAACTTATGCAGTTCGCTTGCAAAGAATGGCTCGAGAAGATAATGAATTTATTCATTCTCTGATCATGAGCGATGAAGCCCATTTTCATTTGAATGGCTTCGTAAATAAGCAGAACTGCAGAATATGGGGTACCGAGAACCCAAGGGTGGTTCATCAAAGGCAATTACATCCGCTTAAATGTACAGTATGGTGCGCAGTTACGTCTCAACGAATTATTGGACCATTCTTCTTCGAAGACCACGATGGGAATGCTGTATCTGTAGATGGCGACCGATATCGTGATATGATTCAAAATTTCTTAAGACCAGCTCTTGCTGACAATCAAACGATGACTTTCCAACAAGATGGAGCCACTGCGCATACTGCTCGAGCCACTATGCACCTTCTAAGGCAGATTTTTGGCGAACGTTTAATTTCGAGAAATTCAGGATTCAATTGGCCCGCCCGCTCGCCGGACTTAACAGCCCCTGATTATTTCCTTTGGGGATATCTGAAAGGAAAAGTGTATATTAATAAACCCACAACCCTGCAGCAACTAAAAGATAATATTCGAGCAGAAGTAAGTGCTTTGGGGCCAGATATTCTGACTCGGGTAATGGAAAATGCTCTTGCAAGAGCTGCACTTTGCGAGGCTGAAAATGGCGGTCATTTGCGTGATGTAATCTTTCACACTTAAATTGTAAACAAACTCCAAACATTGCATTTTAGTTTTGTGTTAGGGAAAAAAATTAAAATTAAAATTTAAAAAAGTTATTAATTTTTCAAATCCCTTCGCGACTTTTGCCCCACCCTGTATTTTAAAGAAAGTTAGATTTGTATCCTACAAAATGAAGTACCTTGGGAATATATTGACAGAAAAATATCTTCGAACATTATACCATGCACTGATTGAGCCTCATCTCACATATGGTATATTAGCATGGGGAGCTGCATGTTCCTCACATATCTATAATTTAGATGTTTTTCAAAAAAGTATTCTAAAAATGATATTTAAAAAACCGAAACTTTATCCCACTGAAAAATTATACGCAGATGTTCGAATGTATGATATAAGACAGCTTTATTTCTTACACAGTATCACTCACTACCATAAATTTGTAAACACCGACCAAAAAATTAAACATAATCATTATACTGAAATTCATAAACTCATAAATACGAACATCAACTAAATACATAATTTACTGTAGCTAATTTTTGTCCTTTTTTTTTTATCTTTGTACATTGAGTGAATAAATATTATTATTATTATTATTATTATTATTCTAAAAAGTCGTAGAATCATAAAGGTTGAAGAAATTTGCTAAAAACTATTCTTCATGAAGAATATGAGGAGGTCTACCCGGTGACACATAAAGGCGCACCACGCTTACAGCTTTTTCGGTCGTGGTGCACTTTCAGTGATATTTATATTGATGATGCAACATGAACTCTACCGTCTTGACTAGGGACCTCAAAAATCATAAAGAAGCATTATACATGATTTTGTACGGTACTTTGAACGCCATCTGAAGGAAGCGATCCATAGTAACTGTTTTAAAATTGCATAGCGGTGTCACTGCTTGAAATGTTGAGTGCATTATTGGTCATGGTAAAGAATCAGAAGAAACTGTTGTTTTCAAAAACAAAAACGTCACGTTTGTGTAGCTGTTAAGTATGTGTAAAAGTGGTGAAACAGTAGCTCGCACGACTTGTCCAAGAAATTATTTCGTGCATGAAAGAATTGTGCGCAACGAAAAAAAGATTATGTGTTGTTTCACAACATGTTTTGATTGTGCGTTGTTGTGGTTCTATAGCTAGAAAATGGCCGTCATGAATGCTAGCTTTTGTAAATATTGTTTGATGCTGTAAGGGAGCGTTGAATGTCCACAGTCCAAACAGCAATAATCAATACTATTAATATAAATTATCACTTTTCCCGATTATCCCATTAAAAATATCTTATATGAATTTTAAGTAGAAGTTTTTTTCCCGCTATTCAGATTCTTAAACACATAAAACATTTCCCTTGTTATAGAGATAACAGGACAAACTTCAGCTCAAAATGCAGAAGCAATTGGAGTAATAATCTTGTGAAAATGGAATACATCGTACTGACAATAGACAACGCAACCGTGGTCAATAGTGCCGTTTTCCATAAATAAATTATAGTTTTTTGGAAAACGCTCAGACCCGTCGATTTTGTTTTCGAGAGGGACACAAGTTTGGCAAAAAATGACGTTAGCACGTGCAGCCCCCTAAGCGGGGCTGACACCAACCCCAAAATCTTAAATTGAAAGAGGGGTCGAGTGATACCTTATTTTAGAGGTCTTCCAATTCCCTTTATAATGATATAAAATTAATGTACCTCAGTTAATTAGTTTTTAAGATTTATTGATTTAAAGCTTAAATAAAACTAATATAGTCAACGCCAAACAAAGTGGCGTGCACGTCATCACGATAAAAATTCCCCGACCTAATGCCTAGGTTTCTATCACAAACAATTGCTCTATTGCAGTTTCATATTAATGTGATATATAAATTGTAAAATGGTCATTACTCTCTTATTATGGTTAATAGTCATATATACATTGTTATTAAAATATCACATAAGTTGCTTTCTGATAAATTTAGACGCATTATGCGAAATAAAATGTTTTGCAAACGCTCCAATCACTTATCGACATGTAAACGCACTAAACCGATTTCGCAGCGTTGACACATTGTCACCTTGAAACTTATTTAAACTGGGAACTGACATTTGTATTAATTTTGACACTGAATCAATTTGTGGCATTTCAAATCTTTATAAATCCTTTGGCCCCGCATACTGTAAATCAACAACTGTTTGTTTCAAAACAAAATTATTCATTTTACGAGTAGATAAAGGCAATTTTGGTATATAAAGATGCCCAAACAGTTAAATAGTCGGTGTAAGGAACTCGTGGCCTCGTTAATGCACTACTTTGAGCAAGAAAGGGACAACAACGGGCCTTTGTTGCCTTTAAATGCTGTTCAAGAGGTAGGTTACTAATAATTATATGTAATGTATATTAATAATAGTGAAATTTTATTTCATTTTTTGTAGCGTGTTGCTGCTGCTTTAAAAATTAGTTTAAGGACAGTTAGTCGTATTTCCGAGGGTGTGAAAAGTGATGCAAATTTAGAATCGCCCAAGAAAAAGCGGAGTTATATTAAACGTGTAACCAACACAGCGACATTGGATACAAGTGCCATTCGAGAAGTGATCTATAATATGTATCACAAAAGTAAGATCGTATTATAATAACTTATCAGAAATTTGCATTAATTTGTTAACTAAATCATAATGTCATATTACACATGAAGGGTTTCCAGCAAAAACCGCATTTGTCAAAAATTAGCATTTTACAGAAAACTAAAAAAACCTGTTATCTTCTTAGATGTTAATTATTTCAAAAGGCGGTTCCTGGATGGGTTGTAGATTAAAATGCATAATAAAACAATGCATGATAAAATAAATTTAAAAACGTTTTAACATCATAAATTAGATTTTTTTGTTTGACAAGTGCTGTTTTTGCAAGAAAATGAAAATGAACTTACAAAGAAAACATACTTTATTGAAATATGATGACAAAGTTCGCTTAAATAATAATCATTCGATGTTAAATATAAACAGCGCTGAAGAAAGAAACTCCGACTAACTTTATTGTACAGAAAAAGCTTACACCAGTAGCTTACCTAATTTTAGAATGCATTTTTCTGTATGAATTCTGTAAAATAAATACCATGCATAAAATTTGGAGGACCCCATTTGGATTTTTATTCAGTACCTTTAAGCTATCAATTAAATATGGTAGTTTCATAGTGTCATCTGATCAATAATTGTCATACTTAATGATTATGCAAGGACAGATCTATAATTTTATTATACTATTATTTTTGTTCTCATTTGAGGTTAATATTGCTTATAAACCTAGATATGTAAATAATAAATTTTATTATTTTACAAAAAGTTTGGCAACAATGTAAATTTTTCAACACACCCACCTTGATGACGTGCACGCCACTTTGTTTGGCGTTGACTATACATCATTAGTGGAGATCAATACATTTGGCAGCAAAGTAATTTAAAAATGAAGAATGAACTGACCCGTTAGGCAAGTAAATGTTGAAAATGGCCACCATGACTCTCCATGCAATAATAAAGATTTTGCTCAAAACGTTGCAGCACATTTTGCAATATTTGAGAAGTAATTTGAAGGCACTCATTCACAATTGTATGTCGCAGGTCTTCTAATGATGTTGGCTGAGTAGCATAGATTTTGCTTTTTAAATGACCCCACATAAAGAAATCCAAAGGTGATAAATCTGGCGATCTTGGGGGCCATTCAATGGCACCTCTTCTACCAATCCATCGATCTGGAAACGTCTGATCTAAATATTGTCGAGCACGTAATGGGTAATGTGGTGGGGCACCATCCTGTTGGAACATCAATCTATTCGCAATGTACCGCCGATCATTCTGATTTTCAGTTATGGCTATTAATGCAGGATCTATGGCGTCATCCAGTAATTCCAAATACATTTCACCGGTCAAATTTCCAGGTAAGAAAAAAGGACCAACTAAATGATCGCCAAAAATACCAGCCTAAACATTTAATTTTTGTGGCTGCTGTGTATGAACCTCATGATAAATTCTGGGATTAGAATCGGACCAATATCGGCAGTTATGACGATTTACTACGCCATTTAAAAAAAGGAACATTCGTCGGAAAAGCAAGTGTTGATTAGAAAATGTTCATCGTTTATAATTCGTTCGCTCATATCTTCACAAAAATGTAATCGCCGATCAAATTCGTCTTCATTAAGTTCTTGTACCAGGTGAATGTTATACGGATGAAAACTATGGGCCTTTAGAATCCGTTGGACAGTACGTCGACTAATACCACACACAGTCTCCAATTTGCGGATACTTAACGTAAGACCTACATAAACTTGCCCTAAAATCCCCAGTGCTATTGCTTCGTTCCTTATGGGATCTTCAATGTTGCGTTTTTTATTGGCAACTGACCCAGTTTCCCGAAATTTAGCTACAAGTTCTAGAACATATTTTCGATGCACGTTACTGTTCTCATGTCGCTCATTAAATATTTCTGCTGTTCTATTAGCGCACTGATTATTTCCGAAAAATATTTCGATAATTTCAACTCTTTCTGCTGTGGAATATACCATGGTTAATTTATGTAATAAAGCGTTACAAGTTATTTTAGCAACAAAGTTTGGTCAAATCAATCGCAAACTATGTACTAAATTCCTATTTGAAATAAGTATGAGATATTTCCTTATCTTTCTTCAAGAAATAACTTTTTTGCCACAAAAAAAACGCTCCAATAGCTATTTTCAACAACAAAATGGTAAACAAACCATGGGCGCAGTGAAGAAAAGCATTTACTTATTAAGTAAATTCTTTTAGTCAAATTTCTTCTGAAAGTAGTACAAACTAATCTGATGTACCTATTAAAGTCTACTATAAGCTCATGTATTTTACATCATTATAAAGGGAATTGAAAGACCTTTAAAATAAGGTATCACTCGACCCCCTTTCCATTTAGGAATTTAGGGTTGGTGTCACCCCCGCCCAGGGGGCTGTACGTGTTAACGTGATTTTTTGCCAAACTTGTGTCCCCCTCGAAAACAAAATCGACGGGTCTGAGCGTTTTTAAAAAAAAAAACTTTGCTGTCAGTAAATGCGTCTGTTTCGTTTTCGATGCGCCACCCTGTATGTAGTGTACTAATCATCTACGAGAAACATCTTACCACCATTCGCAGATAAAGCATCACTCTCCGCCGTCGAAGGTTCACTGACAAGCTGAAAAATTGCTGAGCTGCCGCGTTTCTTATATCTCTTCGTCTTTGAATAGTGGTAGCCATGCGTATCTGTCCCTAAGACACCGAAGAAATTCACGTCCATTTTGTTCTTAATGCTGATGCCTTGGAAACCTTCATTAGGTATGCACCAGCAGCTTTTTTGTGCCTGAGCTTTCTAGAAATAGAAAGGATCCGCAAAGACGCAGAAAAAACATGCAGGTTCCCAGTAGCTGTATGTGGACTGGCACAGTGGGAAAGCGGAAGCCTAGCACCTGAAGGTGCCGGGTTGAATCCCTATAGTAGGTAACTCTTTCCTTCACTATTTTTTGTGACTAAACGGTAGTATTGCTACTATCTAAGAATATTCACTTCACTATCTTATTCAAGAATCAACTTATGCTAAAACGTACTCCCAAAGTGGTGAGCTATCAAACCCAACTGTTAGAAATTTACGAGGAAAACAGATTAATTATCCCTCTTTCGAGGTGAAACCTCTAATATGCTTTCAAGTTCTGGAGGAAGATTGAGTCCCGCCCTAAGTACATCCTTGTACCTGAAGCTACGTAGGATGGATGTTGTTAAAATTTCGAAAAAACGTTTGTATAAACATTGAAAATGGGCATTATTCTCAATGATAAAATGACCTCTCATCACTCTCATCAGTTACATGTTTTCTGTATGCCGTCTTTACCTTATCTTTGGACATGTTGTAAATATCATCTACAGAGACATGGAGATGTTTCTTACAAAGCTTGGTCTTTTCCTTCACTGATTTTACCTTGCAATCAGAATCCAAGCTATCCGATGAGATGCTTCTAGGAACGCTCTTATCAGTGCAATCATCATAATAACATAAATTCTTCAGGCAAATCTCCTTTGAATATGATTCATGGGCAATACATAGACAGGATTCGCCAACCTGAAAATTTTAATGAATGTGTAGCTTCGTCCACAACTTCGCTCAAACGAGATTCATCTTAATGGTATTTATACTAAGTGACATATAAATCCGAACACCGAGTTTAAATGGTTTTATTTTAATAAAAGTTGGTGAATGTATTTATCTTACTATAAATACAAGTGAAAAAATTTTGAGCCTTATCAGTTGGACATTCCGGTTTTTATACTGCTTTTTTTTTAATTCACTAACGCTCTAAAAATGAATATTCCAGCCGCAGTAAAGAATCAGTGTTGGCGGATTTTGGTTCTTGACATCCTTTACGATCGGTTACGATGCCTAGAGTACGGAGACCTGTACGACTTCGTCAACTTAGTGAGTTTGATAGGGGCCGTATAGTGGGACTTCGGGAAGCTGGACTTTCTTTTCGGGCAATTGCAGTTAGAGTGCAAAGAAGTGTAGACACTGTGGTTAGGTGTTGTCAGGCATAGCTTCGAGAAGGCAGTACGCAAAGAGCAAGGGGCACTGGACGCCGCCGTAAAACAACAGACCGTGAAGATCGCCGCCTAAGATTATTGGACTTAAGGGACCGTTTCTCCACTACCAGGTCCATTGCAAATGAATAGTTTGCAGAACACGGAATACCTATTGGCATGCGAAGTGTTTACCGACGAATGAGAAGTTTTGGCTTGTTTTCATACCGGCCACACTGGGTCCTCCCTTTAACTCGAGAACACCGACGTAATCGCCTTGAGTGGTGCAGACAACGGTCACTCTGGAATCAGGAATGGAACAGTATTGTCTTTAGTGACGAGTCTCGATTTTGTTTAGGCATGCACGATGGTCGTGCCAGGGTTAGAAGGCGACGTGGTGAAAGGAGGAATCCACAGTTTTTTGTTGAAAGACATGTTCATCGCACTGTTGGAGATATGGTTTGGGGGCTATAGCTTATGGTTCCAGGTCACCTTTAATCTTCATCAGAGGTAACAAGAACGCGCAGCGTTATATCCACAAAGTTCTAGAACCCCATCTTTTACCCTATCTTGACACCCTGGCAGATCCAACTTTCCAACAAGATAATGCCCGACCACATGTTGCAAGAGTCACAATAGACTTCTTTCAACATAATGATGTCACATTGTTACCATGGCCACCAAGATCTCCCGACTTATCCCCAATTGAGCACGTGTGGGATATGATGGGTAGGAGATTGCTCAATTTGCAACGTCCTCCTCAGACTCTAGAAGCACTTCGAGAGGAGTTGGTGGTTGCCTGGAATGAGATACCACAGGAGGACATTGACCACCTGATCAGAAGCATGCCTAGGCGCGTTGGAGAATGCGTAGCACATCAGGGTGCATCCACACTTTATTAAAGGTCAAAGGGCTTTAAAGCAGTGCATTCATTTTGAAATTTTTATCATTTACTTATTATGCTTCATTAAGTACTTATACAAAGTTTTATTAAAATAAAACCATTTAAACTGGGTGTTCGGATTTATATGTCACTTAGTATATGTTACACGACTTATTTAATCTCTGTGGTTATAGTCTGTCAGTTTGAGGATATTTGAATAAATGTCGCGGCATATAGGCAATATTTTTCTTGACCGTTCATATTTTTCAACATTTCCAACCTATTTTCATGTAGAGCTGCCGGATTAATAAATAATTGGAACCCGATTTGAAGTAATGTAATGTAAGTAATGTAAACGGTCGCAATGCTTACAATTTCTTCTGACCGTTATGTGCCTACACATTGCAAACAATATTCCCAAGGCATACCTGATATGACTAAACTATAGCTGAACTACAAACATTGCCCTTTTAGATTCTCCATTATAAATTCAGCTAAATTGTTGGGAGAAATTGGAGAAGTGGACAAGGGTATTCTTACACTTTGTTGGGTATAAATTGCAGATCCCCACAAACAAAAGGCTTTACTTGTTCCTTCTATCCTATTGCTTACCTGCGTATCTCGGTCTATAGTTCCAGCTTTCCGCATATCAGCTTCAACACGTCTTTCAAAACTCAAACATCGCCCCCCACTCGCAACCTTTTCATCTCTGTTGTCTCCAGCACATGGTGTGCCGAGTTTCTTCATAAGCTCACTATTATCATTACTTGTCAGAATATACTTTGGCGGTTCACTTGTAGGCTCTTGACATGTTCCAGAATCTGGGAGGTTATTTACACTTGCACTAACAACTTTCAGGTTTTTATTGGTTTCTTGCGTGACTGGATCATTTTCACCTTTGGAATCTCCAACTTGTTTTTGCTTAGGTTCTCCAACTTGATTTTTATCTAAACTTTCACTTCTTCTTATCTCTTCATCACCTATGGGCTCAACATCAGAATTGTCACAATCACAAAACCCAAAACGACCAGTGCAAGGGCAACTGTAAACTTGACCTGATCCCGAATCCGGGAGGTTATTTACAGGAACACTTGTACTAACAACTTCTAGGTTTTTATTGACTTCTTGCGCAGCTGGGTCTACAGTTTCATCTTTGAGCTCTCCAATTTGTTTTTCCGTGGGTTCTGCAGCTTGATTTCTATCTAAACTTCCAGTGCTTCTTATCTCTTCATCACTGTTGCGTCCAGCACACGGTGTACCGAATTTCCTGATGCACTTATTGTTATCATCACGTATCAGATCACTTGTGGGCTCAACATTAGAATTGTCACAATCGCAAAACCCAAAACGACCAGTGCACGGACAACTCCAATCTTGAACGGATCCAGAACCTGAAAGGACATTTACAGGAACACTTTTACTAACAACTTCTAGGTTTTTTTCATCTTTGGGCTCTCCAACTTGTTTTTTCATGGGTTCTCCAATTTCATTTTCATTTAAACTTCCATTTCTTCTCTCTTCAATACCAGAGGACGGAAGACATGGGCTGCAAGCTGCCAAGCTAGAAAAGGTAACTGATTTCAGTGAAGATGAAGCCCTGCTATTTGGTGCTGGAATACTGACTTCAGACAATATCTTGGTAGTAGATTGACTGCAACATCGTAAGTTTTCTATCTCTACTGATATTCTCGTGAGCTGCTGAATGATATCTTGTTCAACTGCACAAGTAGAAGGAGTCTTGTAACTTTCGGTCGTATTGGTCTCTGCATCACAAGCACCGGCGGTTGTACATCTTTTTTCTTGCTTGTCAACCACAGCGGCATTGTCATAGCACCCGCAGTCAACATCTGCTCCAGATATATTTGTAGTTCTACTAAAGCATTCATTGATACAATCGAGCACATTAACTGTCCTACACTTAGATGACATCTCTGTAAAACAAGTTTTACCTGTTTTGCCTCTCCCACAAAGTTTCATAGGCTTACATTCGACTGACATTTTCATTGAGTCTTTAGAGAATGCATCTTTGCCCTCACTATTCTTCCCTGACGGACTCGCAGCTTTCTTTCCAGATGTACCATCTTTTTTCTTTCCGGACGAACTAGCAGCCTTTTTTGTACCCTTTTTAGTACCGGAGCTAAGCCGTTTCTTGGGCACATCTTCCACTTCTAGTGAGTCATTACTCATGTTACTTCTGTATCCCTTTCTATCTTTGTCTGTCTTCTCTTGCTCTCCAGTTGAGAACGATCTTGATTTCGTAGAAACTACAGAATCTTTATGTAGACTATGTGTATATTTATTCCGATTGGATGCCGCTGACTGCTTTCTAGTCTCTGCTGTTAAGCATCTCACAAGTTCCTCATGTGAAGCAAAGCAGCTTGCCATAACAGATAAATCCTCCCAATCTAAGCAACAACAGCTTCCCTTGGCCTTCTCTTCTGAAGCTAAGCTTGATCTAGTTGAGCTTCTGTTGCTATCTTGTGACTGCATCGACTTTCTTCGCCTCGGCTTCGGAGACACATCACTGCTACCTTTGGTGCTACTCATAGAGCCTTCATAAGTAAACATTCTACGAGATTCACGGCTCCCAAATCGATTCTTCCTCCCACCGTGTTCCACTATGTCTTGGGCTTTGTCAATGACTAGTTGCAAAATATCTTCAACCTCTTCGCATTTGAAATCAGGGTATCCCACACCTGTTCTTTGAAAATATTCACAACCGGGTTCGCAACCCTTCTCCCCGTCTTTCGGACAACGTGATTTTTCTCTCAGCTTTTTGTGATCGCATCCACAAATCAGACATGAGATACCGTGCTTGTAAGCTTTACAACTATCTGGACATATTAGTTTTGTTTCTTCTTCTTTAATTGATTTCCTATTTATAACGGAATCTGTGGCCTCCTCTGTATTATCAGTGACTCTTGCAGAACCTCTCTTTGATCTCAGATGTAACTGCCTACTTATAACTGAATCTTTAATCCCCTCTGTGAGATCGAGGTCATCACTACCACGTTTAGTACTATCACATCTGCAGTCTTCACAAGGTTTATTAAATTCCGCGAAATTCCCACGGTCTTCTCCGCATTTATCTAAAACGAGATGGAGGGATGGCAGAAAAACACAACTACGTACATGATAATATTGTATGTTGCCAGGTCCACAACTGCGTCAAGAACTGTTTAAACAATTTTTTCAAATCCGATTATTTCTCGGACAGTTTTTTTTTGCTTTTTGGATCTCCCTCAACAAAAAACATTCTTATGAACTTTTCTCTGGAGTTCATGGTTTTCGAGATATAAGCGATTCGATATTTGAAAAATTAAACACGAAAATTTTAATGTTGCTGAAGTACCTAAATATTCTTCCATGTTCTAGCATCCATTAACAAAATATTGAAGCATTTCAGGGGGTATTGTTATTGTAAACCATTGTTTTTTTTTCTTCCTATGCTATTGGATGATATATGACATGTACATCACGAAAAATCATGTCTAATTTTATAACCGCCTATAACTTAAGAAGTAGAGCTCGGATTTTGATGAAATTTTCAGACAAAGTTGCTATTATGCTAAGGATAGAAAATGTTTCTAGTTTTTGGTGGTAGCGAAGAAAAATACCAAATACCAAAAATCACTGAAACTTCGTTTTTGACGTTTTGCCGAGCCTACCTACTTGGTTGCATTTTTATCTAATCATTCCTCTTAAAATTCTCGGAACTATCACATAATAGTGTGGCCATAAACAAAATAAATCGATAGCGTCATCAAAAAACATGTATTAATTTTCCGTGGAGTTAGTGATGGGTGCGACTATGTCCAAATAAGCTATGAGACTATTAAAATATAGCACTGAGAGCTTTTGTGAAAATGTTTATATTAATATTGACACAATTCAGACCGAACGATACAATCGTGAGCACATCTCAATATGCATTTTACGAAGGATATCTTTTAAGTTTTGAATTTAGAAACATAGTAGGCCGCGCGGATCGAACGTCAGTACTGAATCTTAACCTCATCTTTAGTAAACTTAAATTTAAAGTTTCACAACAATACGTGCAGTGTTCTCGCTACAGTGAATTTTTAAGTGTCACCAAGACATTAGAAAAATGGAAAACATTTTCGCGCCTTAATTTATTACAACTTTCAGAGACAATTATCGCTACAAGAATGCCTTGCTGAGTTACTGTCTGTTTTAGGCAACGAAGCGCCACATCAGTCGACAATTTCCCGTTGGTGTGGAGAATTCAAACGTGGATGGGCGAGTCTTAGCGACGATCCCAGGGTGGACGCACCAAGAACGGCAGTCACCCAGGAAAACGTCGATGCTGTGCGCAAACTCATCACTGAAGATAGACATGTGACATATCGCGAGATTGAGGCGTCCTTGAAGATCTCAAAGACCTCAATTCAAAAAATTTTACATGAAGAATTAAAAGTAAGAAAATTAGTTTCTCATTGGAGGTGGGGTACCTGTTGACTGAAGAGCAGAAAGCAGCCAGGGTTAATTGGTATCAAAAAACGCTTGACCGTTTCAATTCCGGAAACTCAAAAAATGTGTACAGCATTCTTAGTGGTGATGAATCGTGGATTTACTGTTATGAACCAGAAAATAAACGACAGTCGGCTGTTTGGGTGTTCCAAGGTGAAGAAAAGCCAACAAAAGTCATCCGTTCTCGAAGTGTTTCGAAAAAGATGGTCGCGACATTTGTGTCAAAAGCGGGTCAGATTGCAACAATTCCTCTTAATGAGCAAATAACTGCTACTGCGGATTGGTATACCACTATTTGTTTGCCAAAAGTCATCACCGAGCTTCGAAAAATCAACCCCGAAAGAAGAATCATCCTCCACCAAGACATTCTAAGTCCTAACGATTTCTTTACTTTCCCGAAAATTAAAAACAGACTGCGTGGTCAAAGGTTCCAGTCACCAGAAGAAGCAGTTGACGCATTCAAAAATGCCGTTTTGGATTTGCCAGCAAACGAGTGGAATAAATGCTTCGAAAATTGGTACGAGCGCATGCAGATGTGTATTAATCTTCGTGGAGAATACTTCGAAAAACAATAAAGTCATTTAAAACTACCCACCGTGTGGTTTTATATCCATATGCAAAACTTGAAAGACATCCCTCGTACAGTCTTGTGCACGTATTGTGCTTCATGCATATAGATGAACCGAACCTGTACGGAGAACGCGTAAACTTATCGCCGGCTGACGCTGTAAATGGCGGTGTGCGTTTGTGGCAGTGTCTGAAAATTGCACTGGGGGATTTGCGCAAGTGTAGCTTCTGGTTTATTTATTCTGTGATACTTTGTTATTCAGATAGTACACACACCGTGGGTGCCATTGCCTGTATACTTATGGTATCAGGTGCTATTTAGTCATTCCGATATGCAAGATGCATATCCTGTCCGTATGCCGAGAAGATGATTGTTAGGGTCAGCATCAACACTGGTGCATTCTCTGTGTAGGCAACGCAGGTAAAAATCGCAATCTGCAATGAGGAATAGCAATTCAGTGAAAATGTAATATGACAGTTGTAGTTGCAGTTTTGTAGCAAGGTGCTGGAGTTATAGACACAAATCATAGAAAAAATTGCAATACATAAATCATCCCCATCACGAGAACCAGTGCCTTGATGAATTTTCATAAAATATATACCTTTTTTGTTTGCTGGGCGCAGTTTCCCTGCTCGTGCTTCTGACCCTTTACCCTCTCCAGACTGTTTTCTTCCTCCAGACATTTTCTTTCCTGGTGAGTCCTCCCTTTCTGCTGACTTTTCACTTCCCACTGAACTTCTTCTACCTGAGGAGGCCTCAGTTTGTTCCGATAGCCTCCTACTGTTTGAGTGTACACTTTCTAGTGAATCCTCTCTTACCGATGAGTGTCCACTCTCTCTTGAGCGCCTCCTTTCTAATGAGTCTTCCCTCGATACAGAGTGTTTCGTCTCTACAGAGTGTTCCGTCTCTACAGTGTGTTTATTTTCCCACGACTCTCCACTTTTGTCTGAAGATTTTCTTCCAGAGTTAACACTATCATCTGACCACTTTATCTTACAAGAACTTTGGAAATATTGTCTTCCAGTACTATCTGTTGAATAGGGTCTTTCTGATAACCTGCATTCACATTCGGGACAGCTTTCCTTACGTTGTTGGAAGTAATCGCAGCTTGTAGAGCATGTAACTACAATACAAAAATGTTGATAAATGTTCGTACTTAGCATTGCGACAACTGAAGTTTACGCGTAAACGTCCATCATTGGCCAACAGACACTTGTGCATCGGAAAAGGAATTTCAACACTGCTTTATGCAAAATGTTCATGACAAATTTGTGCGTACACCGAAGTAACGAGAAGAGTTGACAAATTTCCACAAGAGCATGTTCAAAGGAGGGGGGATTATCATGTAACATGTTAAGTTATGAATTCTAGGAATGATGAAGGTCCTAAAGATGAGAGGGTGCATTGAGGGTTGTCTAAGCATAGTCTACATACCTTTCTCCTTTCCTTGAAGTTGTATAAAACAGTTGCATATGGGGCAGCAAATAAAGTCTTCCTCACATGGTTCTTTACACTCACCTGGATATTGATCTCCTGACTGAGAATAAGTAATTGTATGTGTTAAAAATTGAAGGACAATGATTATTAATTTGAGCTTCCATCGAAGCTACACTCACTATATTAATTAATTTAGATCTAACACAAAACACCTAGGTGCCATCCATACCAAGCGTCCAGAATTTCTTCGGAATTTTGTCCCGTCCGAAAAAGAAGCCAAAGCACATCCAGATAACAGTTAAAAAAATTATAGTTCGGAATACTAAAAAAAGCATGCTTCAATAGCAAATCGAACTAAAAAGTGGAAAATAGTTTTCAGATTAATTCAGATATAGTTGCTATTTACAAAATTGGAGCTATTATGCTACTATACCTAGATATTCACAACTTAATTCGATTTTCAAACCACTTGATTTGACTGGAAATCAAGTCAAGCTCAAGGCAATATTAATCAAGTCATGTGTTTGAAAATTCGAGTAGGCTTGATATCACTTGGTAATTTGTGTAATATAAATACGAGTAGATTATAAAGACACAACGGACAGACTCTGTTACAGGGAAAACAATATTACTAATACTTTGTTCATCATATAACAAATAAAAGATCGATTCGTCGCTTGTTACAACAAAATAAAAAATTCTGTATCAGCTTTTCATTCGTTAACGGGGTACTAACGGATCTATCTGGGGTTCTGTTATGGTCAGTGTGGTCCTGGAAAATTTCCTTTCAATGGACGCTGATGTTGCAGATGTCGAAAAAAACGAAAACTAGATTTAGAAATACATGTTCATGCCTCCACTCGAGATTATTTGCATTAAAATACAAAATACGGTTCATCGGTTGTACAAATCAATGTTCAGTCTCAAAACAAAAATCCTTATAATCAATAGTTTAGATGTTGGTATATTTTACATTTGGCAATAAATCTAAATTCACTACCAAATTTTTACAAATATCGATATTTCTAGATTTTTTCAAATATTCAAATTATTTTTCAACTTACCCAATTATTTTCCAAATTTCAAAATTAATTTTTTTAAATGTTCAAATTGTATTCTAGAATATTTCTTATATTCTATACGCGAATAAATAAAAGAAATATACCGATCGAACTCTATACGGGTTCTCAAAGAGTTGGTCAAGAACCTCCCGAATACCGCAACTGGATCCATTCCGAAAATATCGAGAACTGCGTTATAGTTCTTAAAAATAAAAAAATAGTAGTAGAATTCTTTTTACTAGAACTGATCTCGGTTTCACATTGTCCTTTGCATTCTGGACAATCAGCTCCCGATGGGTCACATACCTCACAGAAATGCGGCACACACTCGTTGAGATTTTCCGGATTTGCAAGCATACCGCCAGTTAAATTCCTTGTTGAGCTAACTCTTGCATGTACAATAGAATCTGGAAGAAACGTAGGAAATAAAGACGCGGCAGAAAATGTGAGGACTGTTTCAAGCTCGCCTGTACAGTTTTAGTACATTCTGATTTGCGTTCAATGCTTATCAAAGTGACAAACCAATACACACTTATTGTTTCTGGAAAGGATATTCAAGTAGCCAGTCGTACGGGTGTAGTCGCGTATGTATCTTCAAATAGCGAAACGTAATTAGCCAACTAGTCAAATACATTGACTATTAGCTAAGTCCGTCACGATGAAATTAGCTAATTACGATGTTAGTCAGTATTATGACCAGGATGGACCCGAATTCGTGTGGACATTCCGACAATAACTTAAAGTTGTCAATTTGGTGCGGGTGGAGCTGATTAACGGAAACCGTTATATGGTAAGACGATTATCAATCCATCAGGTGATAGCAATTTGAGAAAAGACGTAAGGTAACTTAACTATTTACTATATTACGCTGAGAAGGCTTCTTAAGATCGGCGCGCACTTAGTTGATTATACACTTCAGTTATATATTTAATATTTGAAAACTAATCAGAACAATCTTCAAAAGCTATGGTCCTTATCGCTTTTAGCACGGTTCTAGAAACCCCATTCTAAGGAGTGTCAGAGTGGAGATGCCCAAGTAAAAGTCTGACACTCGGTTGGGATTAAGTGCAGTTGAACTACATGGCTACGAAATGAAACAACTGATCATCGAGAGCTGAAGATTATCTGTTTATTAATCATCAAGCTAAGAATACAGGGTGTCCGCAAAGTTGGGGTTTTCCTTTTCAGAAACAACTACCCTTGAAATAACAAAGGTAATGTGTAGTGAAACGAGGGCGACCAAGTAAAAAAATAAAGGCAAAAGTACTCACTCTCCAGTTGACGAGAAGGGCTAAGTACGTCTCTGCCCGAAATCATACCGCTCCAACAGAAAATGAAATCAGCTGATGCGCTACCGAGCAGACGCCGGCGGTGGTGCAGACCACGAACAGAGGTAACAAATATGACGGAGTTGCCGCGTTTTCAGTTTTTAGGTAAACGTACTTTATAGGTATTGTTCGAAGTTATCGCCGTTTGATTCAAAAACACAGGTGCGTGCAAGACGTAGCCAAGCATCGGTGCAGGCTTTGAGAATGGAGTCCCTCCCCCGAATGAAAGAACCAGCGTGTTCAATTTTGAGACGAAGTTCGTCAACCGTATGCACTTCAGTTTTGTACACTAAGCGTTTCATTTCTCCCCAAAGAAAAAAATCACATGGTGTTAAGTCTGGAGATCGCGGAGGCCACGCTACGGGTCCATTACGTCCGATCCACCTATTCGGAAATAATTCATTCAAAAACTCACGCACTTCGCGTCTAAAATGGGGCGGTGCACCATCGTGCAGAAACCACATCGATTGTCTTACACTTAATGGCACATCTTCTAACAAGGAAGGCAAAATGTTGCGTAAAAAGTCTAGGTATTGCATCCCGTCCAATCGATTTGGGAGAATAAATGGTCCAATGAGCATACCGTTCACCATGCCAGCCCAAACATTCACCGAAAATGTTTGTTGAAAATGTGCCCGACGGACAGCGTGCGGATTTTCTACTGACCAAACATGAGTGTTGCGAAAGTTATTCACCCCATTATGCGTGAACGTAGATTCGTCCTGTCACCAATATGCACTTCAAAAAGTCGGATTATTGTCATATTGATGCAATAACCACTCACAAAACCGCACTCTTGCTGGAAAATCGTCAGGTTGAAGGGCTTGTACACGTTGGACGTGAAACGGATACAGCCCCTCTTCACGCAGCGTTTGCCACACTTTAGTTTTTGATACTTGCACTTCTCTAGCCACGTCTCTAGTGCTTGTTGTTTTTTGAAACGCAATCGATTATACGGGTTCGTTTACCTCTACACGCGTGACCGTAACCGACGGTTGACGGTTGCATACTGACCTGACACACTGACCCCGACCCCCGACCCAGTTCTGTCGTCGGGTTGAGCTAGTGTGCTAGTACGCTAGTATTCAGATATTTTTGATGTTGCAGAGCGCTTTATCTCGGTTCCCTTAAGACATTGGTGTATATGGTACTAAGAAAAATTGCTTATGTTTCAAGATCTACACGTCGTGTAAAGGAAAACCCCAACTTTGCGGACGTATACGTTTGATTACGTTGAAATTTTATATTGTTCACGTTCTTTCTTCCTAGGATTCGTTTTACGACTTACCTCTAATACCTCTACTTCTCTTCTTTAGGGCATCCTGAAATAATGTCCTATTCAAATCTGGAAGCACATAGTTGCGTTCTATCATTTTATTATGCTTCGCGACTCTCCTGTGACAGACATCTTGTGTGTATCCAGATCCCATCTAGTTATGAAAGATCAAATATAGTGGATGCTTAAAATTCGACTCTCAACATTAAATTTCATATTAAGGGCTGTACCGTTAACTGTTCCTAAATTGTAGGATGCCTTTATGGCCTCCTTAATTTCATTTTCTTTTCTCTCCTGGGGTATTTCTAGATTTCTACTGTTCCGTGTCAGCCAGCACTCTCCTATTGTGAGTTTATGTTCTTTTTCTCTTTGAGTCTTAAGTAATTTCGTCTGATAAAACATGATAAAAATGAAGTTTTGTCTTGGAGTTCAAAATGAAAATATAACCTTAACACAGAGCGCTGACACAACATCGAAAAGTGAAAATAAGGAGGCCATAAAGGCGTCCTAAAATTGTAGGAAAGACTGGCTGTATTATTTGACATATTAATTTCATGGTCAATACTTAACAAAAACAAAGTATACTTTTATTCATCTTAAAAAGGCTCCAATTCAACTTGGTGCTTTAATCGAAGCTTAATGTTATTAATTACTATACCTAGGTTAAATTTTACACAACCTGTCTGCTCTTCTGACTCCATTGTTTTTGGCATCTTCATTTAAAAGTACTCCTGAAATATAAGGTTGCTTACATTGTTTCCAAGGACATTGAACTACACTGATGTGCAAGAGAGCACCGTATAAGTTGTCACGAGACTGTCCAGGGGGTTGTAAGTAATATGCATGACCTTGTACCCTGATTTGAGTGACGTCGCTGAACACTAATGGTATCGGACAGTTCCATTTTATAACGTGTAGCTGTAGGTTATGAGTTCATTCTACAGTTGCCTACCCCTCATCCTCCGAATAGCGCAGCTTAGCTTTGCGCAAGAATTGTCAAAGACGCACTGTCAGCGAGAAGTAATTTGGTTCGCATTTAAAACAACACCTAGGTAATTAACAGAAGCAATTAGCAGAGCAGAGTCAGAGCTACTGGGACTATAGGCTACGCAACCGACACTAGAGGGAGAGACCAGAATCGCCAAATAACCTAGAAGTTGTCTGCAGGGTCCTAGAGTCGAGGATTCGGGGCTGCTGATACTGATAGAACGGAGCAAAATTATTTGGAAGCTTACCAGCAAAATTCAAAATTCGACAAATAGTCATCAAAATTGGTAGAATATAAAAACAGGAAAAGAGGCACTTGAAGCCCCGACATTCGCACTTTCGTCGACCATGATTTCACGCCGCGAGGCGTAAATGCCTCACTTTACGCCCTAGTACACAAGTAACTATTATATACTCACGGACTAATCCAATGGTCCAATAGGATTCGTATCTAATGCACTAAATTCATGACCATAGGGAACTGCTACGTAAGTATATCCATGCTGCAGCTGGTCAGCCTGCTCTATAGGATCACCATAAATTGTTGACAAGCTAGAAAAAGATGCAAAATTTGGCTTATTGAAAAATAGTTAGTTGGGATATCGGCAGGAAAGAGTCTTGAGACCGTTTTTCAAGGTATTGGATACTGTATCAAGTTATGTCGTTCAATATTTGAAATGTTACGAATGATCTATGTTATTGATGATTCCATTGGTTTCACAAAGCGTGCTGGCGAAATGTGAGTTGCAGCATCTTAGGCAACATGGTCGATGCCATAGGCAGCGCTCACAGCGAGCAAGCCCGGAATAGGCTAAGAATCTTGGTACACAAGTTGACAAAATACTGATTTTTAATGACATTATAGTCCTGTTCGTACAACAGTTGCCAGCCTGTCAGTGACCATATCCAGTGACCACACAAATTCCGTTCACTCTGCTACGCTATATAGACGGAATTCACACTGCTGCATCCCAGGCCAGTCACAGACAGATCGCTGTACGAACAAACCTTGTACCGCTCTTTTATACTTTTGCGGAAGGTAATAGAACGACGCCCACTTTCCCTCATTTCAAGAATAGCGGTCCTGGAAAACATTGATACATCTCCTCAAAAGTCAAGCTATGTTAAAAAGCTCGATTAATGGTCGCGCTAGGAGTAGTTACTCCTTCATATACAGTCTGCTAGCCCTGTTTAGGATTCAAAGCTTCGCAGTTTCTTTTTTGGAAATAGAATATGAATTATTTTCCATCCTGTTTTATATTTTTATAGGATTATCAATTGGGCTTATGTGTCGTAAGCTAAGTGAGCTTTAAATATTATTTCGGTGAGTCTATTAGAGTCATTCTTTCTATGAAGTACAAGAGAGGCGGCTTTCAATGTGTAAGATAAACATTGTCGAAACCAAAACAGATCCATAAGGGACATCTGCATTGAGTCATCCTCCCTTCTGCAAGGCCACACTGGAAGGCCATAGGACAAAGAACCATATTGGTTGCCAGTACCCCAAATGCGGTAGTAGTAAGTATGAAACGCAACAAAGAGAAAA